GAATTAACAGATTTTCACTTGATTATCAACACCCCCATGAGAAACAAATCCCCTCATCCAAGGATCATGAATTTAAAAAAAATTAGAAACACAAGAAACCATGACCTGGGGGCCATGAAATTCACAATTTTAAAAGAGGCACTCTTGTTCATCATAAGCATAATTAAGTTCGTTTGTTTAATACCCAGGTGCAGAGTAGAGGATTATCAAAAAAAAATTGATACACATTCGCAATTTTTAAGATATAGCCCCACCTTAGCACTAGAGCTCTTGATCCTTGGGCAATAAAATTTACAAATTAAGAAGAGGCTCACTTGCTCATCATAACTGTGTACTTAGTTTGTTAAATATCCAGAAGAAGAGATTGTGATTTTCATAGAATAATGCATTTTCACTTTCTGATTAGTATAGTCCCACCCTGGCACTAGAACCCTTGACCCTGGTGCCATGAATTTCACAATTTTAGACGAGACACTCTTGCCTATCATTGATATGTAGTTTGTTTGTCCATTTGATACCGAGGACCAGAAGAGTAGATGTTCAAAGAAATCATGCATTTTTAATGCATAGTGAATAGAGCCCTGTCCTTGAATCCTGACCAAGGTGCCCTGAATTTTACAATTTTGGAAGAGGGTCGCCATATTCATGATAACTATGTAGTTAGTTTGTTTGTTTAATACCCAGGAGCAGAGAATAAGATTTTCAAAGAGTTGTTTTATTTTCAGTATATAATCAATTGAGCCCCCATCCTTTCCACAAGAACCTATGGCCCAGGGGCAATAAAATTCACAACTTCTCATCATAGCTACATAATTAGTTATTTTAGTTGATACCCAGGAGCAGAAGATGAAATTTTCAAGGAATTGATGCACTTTCACAATATTATCGCTAGAGCCCCACCCTAACTTTGGAACCCCTGACCCCGGGTCCATGAATTTTTATAATTTTGACTGAGGCCTCAATGCTTATTACAATCATGCCGGCAGTTTGACTGCGTGATGTCAAATAGTGAAGAAAAAGATTTATAAAGGTTGAATTGATTTTGGTGGTTTTTGCCCCGCCTCTCATGTCCGAGGGGGGCAGAGACCATGAAATTCACAATTTCTATTCCTCTTAACCCATAGATGAACTATGCCAAAGCTGGCTGAAATTGGGTAAGTGGTTCCAGAGAAGATGCAAAATATGTTCAAAAGGTCAGACCGACGAACGACAGACGACGCACGACGAAGGACGAAAACAGATAGCAATATGTCACCTGAATGTCTTAGATGACCTAAAATGAAACCATTACTTTAAGGTACTTCCAAGGTAAACCGATTGTAATTGTTGATTTCTTTACTACTCGACATTTTGCAAATACTAACTTGATTTTAGGACTCCATTCATTGCGTTAGTATCCAAGGGACGAATTATAGATATAGAATTATAGTGTGATATAAATGAGTTTGCAAAATGGCCATCGTCATACCTCTGGCAGTATATAAAATATAATTTTTATCAATGAAATAATTTATACACTTACCTTTTTGTTTAATACTTTGTTATATGACCTGTAGATCAAAGAACACATTGAATTTTCCTGGTAATGCATGTACATAAACTCTAAATATAGTTCAAAGGGAGGCTACTGATTCGCTCCAGATCATTTGCTTTTCTGACCTGATATGTCATCCTTCGAGCACGGATTTTGAGCACTCTCCAGACAATTTCAATTATATTGAAATCAGACTTTTTAGGGGCCTCGTTTCAAACAATTTGAGAAAGCGGAGACATGACAGGGCATTGTCTTCTAGCCAAAGGAAAGTCTAGTTGGTGTATGACGAGCGATCACGGTCCATAAACATTCATGAAGAGTTAATAAATATTCCTCGCTATTCATGTTCCCATCCATATTTTTAAGGGTTCCTACTCCATTATAACATATAAAACCCCAAAACATGAGGGAGGCTCGGCAGTTCGTTTTCAAATCATCACGCAACCCGCCACATTCAGGACGATTTTTTTCCTCTCTCTTCCTCTAGACATGAATTTTACCGTTATTTTCAATAGCCATCTTATTCAATTACTGAATATTACAGATGAACAATGATTGTTTACTGTTCAGTGTAACTTCTATCGACCAAATTGAGTATTCCTCTCTCTTTCCACACGTAAAGTTACAGTAGTTATTTCTTTTAGAATCTAAAAAAGCATTCTTAAAACCTTCCTTTGATAATCGTATGTGAATTGTTCTAAGATATTCATTAGATCCTGGCATTGCATCTGGTTATAAAAGCTTTAAATGTCTGCCGACGGTTTATATTAATGCTAATATTAAGGAATACTGTCATCACTATTTGAAGTTTTCCATGTCATCCCACGATCTCTTTACTTAAAGTACTTTGCCTCCTGGTGTAATCGGAAATTTCTGATTAATTGGCTATGACATAATCAAAACGTTATTTCCAAACCATGACCATCTTTAGTAGAACTAAGTTTAAATTCCAAATTGAATACACAAAGGTACTTGACCGTTTTTATGAAATATTTCTTATCTCTTTGTACTGAGGGATTAGAAGGAACCTCAATTGCAATTAGTTTTACTATTTAGGAAAACTACACTGGTTATATAACCTTGTTATCTTTTTTGTGAATGGAAATTGCGTTTGAAATAATAGCTTAATCAAATCAAGATGCAAAGAAAGACAGTAAATTTTGATACAGCACTTGACCTATTTCAGAGGATGTCATTGCATAAATACAGTTGTATTTCTCTTTTCCCTAGTCAATACTAAAAGGAAAAAGCTTCAAGATAGCGAGGATATCAAGAGATTTTAATATGTTTTACGGTGTGACCGTTGGGGCGAGCGCAGTTGTACCATCAAAAACACTCTAAAAATTGGTCAGCCACTTCAAACATCAAGCCGCACAAGACATCTCGACTAGTTGTGACGTCACACGACATCACGGAGCTCGTCGGAGCTTACGGAGACAGCCGAGCGTCTGTTTGAAACTATAGACCTAGTGCAATTTTGGTTGAAAAACATTGTAGAGTTATTTTTTGTTTCTTTAAAAGATTTGTACAAACTGATAGCCTTTTATGCTTTACGTTATTATTTATTTATTTATTTTTATTTATTTTCGCAAAGGACATTGGGTAGTGCAGGAATTCTGGGAATGTTTCACAGAGAAATTTCGCTGACGTATGTACATATTTCAATCCGAATTTCCTCTGTTCTTACACGTTAGTCCATTGAGCTCGCTGCGCTCGCTAAAATTAAACACTATTTAAGGGTAGCTTCAGAATTTTATCGTTATGTGTTTTTTTTATTTACGTTTATATATTAAGTCTTTGACCATATTGCTACAGATCCCGTAATGAAAAAAAAGGTATAATTTACGAAACAAGTATCGATATCCTCCCCCACCTACCAGAATGCAGAAAATCTAAAATACATTAAACCATAAAGCTACATTTAAAGAGGACAACAACCTTGATCGGAACCTCGAAGCGGTGTACTTGTGTCGCAAAATCACACAGATCCTGATAAAACTAATTTATCTTTCGCATGCACTTGCAAACGCAGCCTCTTACACTCTCTCAAACACTAACGCGTTAACTTTTTAACGAAGAATAAAAAGTAAAAAAAAAAAAAAAACAAAAAACAAAACACATATTAAATGTAGGAAAATTGGTTTGGATGATGTTTTAAGTTGTTTTTATTGTTAACTTGTCAAAAAATAGCTTTAATCAGCGACTTATGTTCACAATATGTGATCACTTTTTAAATTATTTCTCAATACACTTAGGAATAGGTTTTGTTTAATAAGAAATATATGCACTATATTCTTATCGGTCCGTGAAATGTCTCCTGATTTATCATCACGTGTGGCGAAAACATGACCTATCCCCACTACATAAGTGTGCAATCTTGACAGAAAGAACGGTTCATTGTTCAGTCGTTGTTGGAAAGCAAAGAGGTAATACAGGATTTTAATTTTATTCTGTTAAGTTCTCCCAAAGAAAAAATATACAGACAATTCATTTTGAGATATTTCTGAGAATTGTTCAAATCCTGTTATTATTATTATCGTTAATGAAAAAAAAAATATTTCAAAATTCACGAAATTAAATAAAACTGCGATTTGAATTCAAAACAATATTTTCAATCTTATTACCGGGACAGAAAACGCAAAAATTATCATTATTCTTCTTTCAAATTCAAATAATGAAGAATATATCATGATTAAAAATGAATGTGTATATTTGTAATATTAAAAGCATTTTTAAGAAGTATAAAAGGGGTTATGAATTAAAATTACATAACTTTTTAGTATATTTAATATCCTTTGCATATTCCTAATGTTCTGAATGGTATTTTGATTCTAGATAGATCATTGAAATTAATTTTTTAACTAAATAATTGATTGATTTCTTTTTCGATGTTATATACGCAAAAAAAATCTTATCAGTATTTCATTTTTTTATTATATCATATATAAAATTATATTGATACAATCTATTGTCAACTGATAACGAGTGCATAAAAGCCCTGTTTTTTACTGTGGAATCATTTTTATTTTAGAGAGTCAATATTCGTTGGGAAGCATCATTTCAATTGTTCGTAGATTAGGCGTTAATATGGAAGATTTAATACATTAATATGTTTAAAAATAAACGTTATAAGGGATGTATAAGAGTGACCTACAAACAATGAGATCCCAATACATTGGTGATCACAAAGTTCTCAAATTTAAATATGTTTGAAAGTAAACAAGATCTATATTTTCAAGCTTTTAACTAAAGGCAACATTTTGCGTTGAGGTTAATGTAATTGCAGTAATGCTGATGATAAAAACGTTATCTTGCTAAAAATTGCTCTGTTAATTTTTTCCTGCCCCCTTTTTTGATTTTTTTAAATGTTACGCTTTCGTTTTCCTGTATCCATGTCGACAATGTGTCATTCATTTTCTTTTAATTTTTTTTGTAGTAATAACAATGTATTTTTTTCACTCTAGGAACAATGCAGATTTTAATTCTCTTTATTTTGCCGGCTGTCTTTGGGGCATCTGGTAAGTATTTTTATGAAAGAAATGAAAACAAACCATTTTTGAAATTGTGCTGATATGTCGTTTGAATTTAATCATACTTTTTTCAGTTCCCGAAAAAAGATTGCTCTTTGACAGTAAGTATTAATAACTGCACTAATGATATTGTCAAGATTCACATAATTTGCTGACAATGTAAATTGCTTTTTTAAACATCATTTAATTTTATGATAATGTTGTATAATTTTGCTAAAAAAATAAAGAAAAAATAACTATAGTCTGAAAACAACATAGAATATTCACATCTTTTTTCAGCAAAAAGAGTCAAAAGGAATGAACAATATATTAATTCTTCGTTTTGACATTTTTTTAATATTCAAAGTCTAATAACTAGAACACTTTTTTCATATTAAGTCTCAATCATATATTTTTCTCCATTTTGAGTCTAACCCAATATGTTTTTCCCAACTTCTAAAGACCATCTGGATATACACCGTTACTTTATTTTCCTTTTTTGTAGAAATACATGTATTAATCATTCATGAAGAACAATTTCTATAATTTTTTTCCAAATTCAGCCTTTCTTAATGGGGAAGAGGCCAGACATCTAGTTGATCAACTGGTGGAGTTACTTGCTACAGATGACAACGAGGTTAAATGTGAATCACATTGTCACACACTCATTGCAAACCAACAGTCGGTTATGCAGCATTTATGTCCCTTCCTGTGTCACTCGTAAGTAGTAAAAACCATCAAAAGTCTTCATTTCAAATTCGATGGAGAAAAAAAAATTAAATTTTCTGATACGTGCTAGTGAGAAGAATTTTGAAGTTTTTACCACTTTTTTTATATACTGTAGACGTACTTTTTTTTCCAAGGGGTCATAATTCAGCGGAATCTCAATTTCTGTTAAATTTGCAGGAAGAAAATTACGCTGATTTTCTAGATTGTCTCTATATGCCTTAGTTTTAAATTAGGTACGCTTGGACACATTTCCGCGGAAAATTTGTGACCGCGTACATAGCGTAAATTAATACCACGCGGAAAAAAGTACTTCTACAGTAGTCAAATTACATCGACATATCCATGGTACTCAAGTTATCAGTATTCATTCAGATGATAAATTTCCACTTCAAATCATAATGAAAGAGAGTTGTCATTTTCTTCACTTGTTCACGGAAAACAATTACTTATCGTGCAAATAACTCACGTTTTCATAATTTTCTACTTTCCTTAGAGCCCAAAATGCACTGAACCACTTACATAGCCCAAACACAGACCCAACTGTTACAGGAAAACGTCTTGTCCTCGATAGTAAGTTTGCTTATCATGTTTTAATTACCTTTTCTCATGTACTTGAAGCCATAAGAGTGTATGGAATATATACCTAGTGGATCTTCACAAAGGATTACAATTTACTTGAATCTCTTTATTAGTACCCTACCGATGAAAACGGAGGGGATTATTTATTTCCTCTGCTTCTGTCTTTACGTTCGTCCGTCTGTCTGTCCAAGTGTTTGTTTGTCAAGCTGTCCTACTTCTACTTGTTTTTTCCGCTTTTTTTTCTAAACGTTTGCAGACATTCAGCTGTATTGTTGTATGTGAATGTAACTTTATAAGTTACATATCAATATTAAAATGTTGTTTCGCTACATTGATTTTTGATAGAATGATGGGATTTTAATTTTTCGTAATGGTTTTAGATCGGTTCATGCTGCGCCAAATTCCGATGGTCAACATGATAAATATGAAGTGATAAAAGACATTGAAAAATGAGTTGAATTTTCGTCTTGATGTGGTTCATTTCTTATATATGTTATATGCATGCACAATCACAATTTTCACATCAAGCAGATAAACTTGTTCATATCTTTTGCATATTATAAAATGACACTCTAAAGAAAAAAGGGACCCGGTAGGGGATGTTTATTGCTTGTGCAATACTCTCAAAATGCTTGTTCTTCTCGCAGACTTCTTAAACACAGCAGAGACAGCTCATCTTGTAGACCAGCTGGTGGCTAACCTGGGAACAGACGAGAACGAGGCTGCCTGCGAGAAAGAGTGTCACGTGCTTATTCGAGATTCTACATCTGTTTTCCAACATATGTGTCCTTTCTTGTGTCACTCGTATGTGATTTTTTATAGTCATCTTTAAATTGTCTTTTTCTTTTATCATTCTTTAATGTTACACATCTTTAATCTTAAATATTGTATCGTTGTAACAAATACAATGATAATATTGTTTTTAATATTTCTTACATTGGTAAAATTGAACAAAAAGTGATACCTAAAGGTTAAAGGAGCAGTCGCATCATCTCGGGTCATAGGTTGGAAAAGCAACCTCGAATGTATAAAATGTATAAAAATTCATACATTTCCTGTTTATTCAGTATAGGATTGAAGGAGTTTGAAGTCCTTTCTTTAGTATATTTTAGGTAATATAATTACATTGAATACACTTTAACTCAATATTCCATAGATAAAAGGTCTACGTGCATTTATTTCAAAGATCGTGAAAGGTGGATTGTCATGGCATCTACGTAATACATTCAAGGTTGTTTTACCTCTAGTCTTAAAGGCCCTAGATGTTGCCATTGCTTAGGGAGTATTATACCTTCATTTTTGGTTTTGAATAGCCATTTATTTATCGTTTTCAAATAGCGCTCAAGCTGTCATTAACAGCATCCATCACACACCAAGTGGATCTCCCACAAAAAGATTTTTGGTCGACAGTAAGTGACTGATTTTTTATGGATTTTATTCACGTTATAAAAAAAATGTTTTAAGATCGTCTATATATAAGTAAAAAACACTCAAATGTGACGTAAAACAGCATACATCCAATCATCAATCTCTCTGTTTTAGCCCTTTTGGCAAACCCAGAGGTCAATGTCCTAGTAACAGGTTTGGTGGATGTCCTTGGATCGGACCCAACAGAGCAGCAATGTGAGAGAGAATGTGTCGTACTGATGCACGCCGATAATGTTCTTCACCATCTTTGTCCGTTTGTCTGTCATTCGTATGTTTGTTTTTTAATCATTTAATTACATGTTATGCCGTGGTGTCAAAACTAACAAAAAGAATTATCAATAGTGAAAACTTTTATTTTTGTACAACGCAGGAATTGATTGTTTTCTGTAACAGATTATCCTTTCAATATTTCTGCGCTGAATTTTATTCTAAAAAAAATAGTATTCTCCTAAAGATGATATATCCCAGTGGCTTCATTTTTGTGCTGCGCAGATATATAGAATGTAACTCATAATCGAAGTGGATTTATTAAAAGTAATAACACCTAGCGTAATAAATAAAAAAAAATAATTCTTGTGTGATCCTTTTTTTCAACTATCTATGAATCATATATATGAAGTTTTTTGTTAATTCATGTGTCAATTTTTATGCATAGTATTTCATGTTAAGTCTTCTTTTTTTGCTTTTAAGATTCCAGCAGTTGGTATCTAAGATCCATTTGAATGCACCAGCATCCAACCCATCTAAAAGATTTCTTGTTGATAGTAAGTATATAGAGTAAATCAAATATCGTTTTCAAATAGTCAATTCCACAAAAATAAGTCAAAACGCTACTCTGTGAACTGATATGCTCTTGGTGACAGTTTTTACAAGCATATAAATGTTTAAGAAAAACGTGTGGAACAAATATATATACTAGTAAGTAAAATTGGAATAAAAAGGGGTCAAACGTCTCAGTGACATAGACGAAATATGTTAAATTGGCTTCGTATCAAACATGTTTGGTTTTTTTTCCATTTTAAGGACATACGCAAGGTACCTTCCCTACTGATAATGTTTCAAGATATTTTTGATTTAAGATTATTGTGCCATCAGATGTTCATAGATAAAAAAATCAGTATGCGTTGCCAGGGTTTTTTGGAAGATATCAAATTATGAAAATTTTTGCATTATTCAAAGAAAGATATATAAAAAATTACAAAACAAAATTTGTTTTAGAAGAAGTGTACAAATCCATATATAGACATTAAAAGTACTGCACACAGGTCCTTAATTTAGTAGAACTCTTCAACTCCAGGGAAGAACCCAATAAAGTTCAAGCTACGTTGCGTATGACCTTAAGGACGATATGCAGATTGTAATAATCATCAATATTTTTTCTTAAAATTTACATATATATCATTTTTGTAGCCCTCCTTCACAACAACCCTGATGTCGCCGTCCTTGTGAACACATTGGTCCAGACTCTAGGATCAGACCCCACAGAGGCTGCCTGTGAGTCCAAGTGTACCGTCGTCGTACACGCCGACAACTTCATGCACTACCTTTGTCCTCTGGTTTGCCACTCGTACGTATTCTGTTCATCCCTGTGCCAGATTTTAGATTTTGATCAATAAAAAAATAAATAAAAGATGCTTCTCTGAAAGCATATACCCGAAAAATATCTGTATTTTAATGCTTACATATTTTGTTTTAATTTTTTTTTCATTTAAGAATTTATGTTAAAAAATATTGCATGCAATCTAAGAAGATTTAGAGACAAGAAATCCATTTACATGTAACTTCAAAGATTTTTTTTTCATTTTTAAATTCATTTCTATCTATAGATTCCAGTCATTGGTTCAGAAGATACACATAGATGCTCCATCTGGTTCTGTGAAATGAAGGAGATTATCATCCAACAGATTAATTGTGTGTAATTAAACAACATCTTTTTAAATAAATGAAATTTTTCTGGGTAACGCTGTTTATTTTTCTTCATTGTCAAATGTAGAAAAAAAAAACTTGCCCATATAGTCATGTGTGTGTTTTTTACTCGTAAACATATATATTTCTTGCTAAAATACTGTAACATATTACCTAAATTAGTACTAGTATTTCAGAAAAAAAATACATATGAAATCAAGATTCCTTGAATAACTTCATGAACAATGCTAAAAGAATATTGTCATATCTGCAATGAAATCTTTATTTTTTTTTTACTCGACAAGATAATGAAAATATGTCTGAGGAAAATTTATTACGTTAATTCCAGAGGAATGAATTTCATGAATAGTTACATGTAAAACCACCATTTCCCACCAAAAATTCCATACGTCAAATCTAACAATTTTTCTTCATATCACACAATAATTCCCAGGGAAAAATTAGTGGAATAAATATCACAATTTCATATTTAGCCTTTGTGAAAAGAAAAATCAAAGATTTTACATTTGTTTCTTATTCACTGTGTGTATTTTTAAGTAAGTTGTTTATTATTACTGGACTAGGCCAATTTTGGAACGAACTAACAGCGGGATCGGGAAACAAATTAGAAAATAAAATCATTGCTCAAGTGTTGCATGTCCAAATAGTGATACATGTATATACGATATACTATTTAGAAGAATGAGATAAAACATATAGATAGAATTTCTGAAGCATTAAAAGGAGGTTGAAAGGACAAACATTATTTAAATCAATGAAGTTAGCACACCCATTCACACAAGAGAACAATCTAAGGAAATGACACGAAGATAGCTTAGTGACACTTTGTGCGAAAAGAGCGAATCGTGTTTTCGTAGACTATAAATGGAATGATCCAGGGGTACAGAAAAAAAAACACACAGATTTGTTGAAAGGATGAATCTCATGGAATTAAGAAATGAATGTAATATTTTTTTCTTTGATCGATGTATCAAAGAAAAATTTGGACGGAAAACTTCATCAATGCGCGTAGCGCATTGATGAAAAAGTTTTCCGTCCAAATTTTTCTTTGATACATCGATCAAAGAAAAAAATATTACATTCATTTCTTATCATTTAATTATGATTTTAAATTAATAAAATGAAAGTTTCTTTCACTTTTCTATTAAATTTATGCATCAAATACAGTGCGCACGAATACATAACCAATTAACGTTAACGTTGCTGAAAATTCAAAATGGCTCTAACCAGCTTACCAAAAACGTTCTCAAATATTGTTGTGTGATTACCAACAGTCTCCAAAATAATTTACAGTTCTTAAGCACAAAAAAACTTACCTGTTATGTTTTCCCTCTTGGTATATTTTCCCCGGTAAGTTATCTAAGTTCGTAAATGTAACGGGAAGCTACTCAAATATCCTAACAGTTCTAGATCACAGAAATTTTGGATTTCATTTGCGCATCTTTTCATTTGAATTTCAAACCGAATATATAAATACGTATCACAACCTGTCAATGCTGTAAAACCCTGAAAAAGTCTGCTGTCGATAGTTCAAGATTAAAGAATTCCATTCTCAATTCATGCAGTGGCGTTTTTCTCGATCGCTCGTTTCCCTCGATTTATAACAGATTTACGGTTTTCCCCGCTTTGGTAGCATAATAAAACATTTTTTCAGAGTTCTATTGTTTCATACCAGATATCTCAAAGTCAAACATTTTAGAAAAGTATGCCGAATAAACTATTTCTTCCCTTCTTTTCCGTAACTGTTTTGTCGTCATGCAGACGATTTTAATTTGTTTAGCAAAGGGGGATAATTCAAAATGAAACGAAAGTAGAAAGTAAGTCAGGAACCTAACGGACAGGTTCCGAAATTCAGAAAAATATTTATTAAAGCAAAGTTATTTAATTATTCCTTCAAAAAGTAACCTGGAAGCGGGGAATATACATGTACCGACTGTCAAAGTAGTTCCGGCTGCTTAGTGCAACCGAACTCTAGATTTTATTGATGCAGTTATCAAAAGAATTTTTGATCCAATCAGAATCAAGTATTTTATAGAAATTAAATGATTAATGTTTTCCATGCAAATATAATAAAGAAAGAAAACACTACAGTAATTTGCATCAGTAATATCATTCTTTTTGAAAAAATTCTGATTCTTTTAAAGTGCAGGTAAATCATTCCAATATCTCTACATTCCGTGTGTTTTTTTTTCCTAAGCCAACTGTGACATTGATTTGAAAACGTTTTTCGTGTATGCGTGTATGCTCGCGCGTAGAAATATACATGGAGAAACGTGTGTTAATGTGACGTCACAGTAAGGATATATCGAAGGTAGTAAACGTATAACGAGATAGAACAGGGAGGAATTCAAATATTGAGTATATTTTTGGTGCTTTCAAACATGTAAAATATGAAATATAAGGAATGTTTTAAGCTTAGTGTGATTTATTGGTGTGTGAATCACACAGACTTGCAAATAGGCATATCTACACAAGTGTCAAATCTGTATGATTCACACACCAATAGCTTACACAAAACTTAGAAATATTCCTTGAGTAAATCCGTGTTCACAAAATCTAGTTTTATATATATGGTCGTATTGTTTCCGATCATGGAAATATTAATCCTTATTACGCCGTGATGTCAGGCAATAAACAGCTACCTTTGAAATAAAAACTAAACATTAGAACTTTAACGTCATTTGATTGGTCATCAGCAAAATGACCTACTTTGTAAAAAAAATACTGTGAATGTACGCTCAACTACTTTGACGTTAATATTAAGGGATTGCTGGCGTTCCCCATTGACAACATGGATGTAGTCTTCGAAAACCAAGCTTTCCAACATGCTCTTGAAATTTTTATATTTAATAATTGTGCTCCTTTTTCAAGCGACCTGTTTTTATATTCCATTCCTAGATATGATAGAATTTATTCAAAATTCTTTTACACAAGAAGTAGAAAACTCTCACTGTGGTCTTCAATTTGAAATGCAGGTAAATCGACAATGTTTTATCGATTAAAAAATGTTATTTTCATTAAAATGTTGACACCATTTATATATCAGTGAACTTGGAATAAAAGACACCATGGATGCTGCAACATAGTTTTCTTATTTCAATGTTTTAATGATCATACAGGATAAAGGTTAATGAGCAACTAAACCAAACTGCATGACAAACGAGATGATTTTAGTTTTTCTATCGTCCAATTTCCTTATTTTATTAAGTAATACCCCATTTTCACCTGCTTATAATGTTTATACATTTTTCTTTATCTTATTTCTTACTTAAAAGCTTCTTCTGAGTTAGATACATTTTTAAAAAGTAGCAGACTACTCACAAGTAAATTGATGTTTCGGGGATTTTAGCAGCCTTCTTTAAAGTAGCATTTTGGTTAATCTTGAATTCGTTATGTTGATTTTGTTAACATATTTATCTTACTTTTGGGTCTTATTTTGGCGAAATTCTTTCATATCGATCGCAAATGCTATATTGTTGTATACTTAACTACATACGCAGAGTTTGTCTACCCGATCAATATCTAGTGGCCACTTGAATTGCATCAATCTAATTGAAATTAGATGTTAGATCCGCTCGTATACTCGCTTCACTAACATCTAACAACATCCCATTAAGGGTCACGTCAGAGGTCAATTCTATTAACCAATCAAATCGTCGCCTGCAAAATCGTTGTATATTGTTGAAGCGAATAAGTCTAGAGGTGTTCCGAATTTGACATCTGACTTAAAGCCCGAGATAATAAGCACCGCCTTCAGATTTACCTGGTCTGTATCCCCCTGTCAATCAAATGAATTAAGGTCCGTCATTGGGTACTTGAAATTGATTGACAGTTAGCTACTAGTCCCTGTGTATATCTCTTTTACCTTGCTTGACACGCGTGGCCACCATCAAACTAACTTTTGGTCCTCTGATGGTTACCGCTAAATTACCATCGCAATAAGGAAGCCATTTCGATGAAAACAATTTCAGCTTGATTATAATTAATTAATTATCTGTATTGCAAACATGTCATTAAAAAATGATTTTTTTATCTCATTGTATTTCAATAAAATAAATCAAGATTGTGCATATTTTCACTAATGAAAATTGCATAGGAGAATGAAATTTTGTTTTCACTCATAAAATTTAAGAATGATTCTTGGTTTGAGACGTGGCGAAAAATTGGGAGAAAATAAGCTGGTAACACTTTTTGCATTTAACGGATAACTAAGGATAAAAACAAAATATCTGATAAGTAACAACTTCGCCTGGACAAGTATTAAGAGTTTCTTTCTTTTCTTTTCCTTTTTATAACCGAACATTTCTTACTTCGTGGGTTGTTACCTCCGTTCAAGGTCACAGATGTTAAAAATAGTTTTGAAAGAAATACATATGTTGGCATTAATTTCATATTTTGTTTAACGTTGTAATATTATAATCTAAATTTACTTAAAATACACACATACTTGTATGTAATTTTAAGTTTACAAAACCATCGTTATCGCCAATTTTTCACTCAGAATGTACATTTGCTAAAAATAGGACCACGCGACATTTTATACAAACGGCAAGTAACTGGTACTATTTGACCGTGATCGAAGCTCTATAAATACAATAATTATGAATAGTTTTTAAGATTTTGAAAGGGACAGACAAGGACGAGTATTTTACCTTTGAAATTATACCTGAAATTCATATTAAATGATTATTATTATTTTTTTTTTACAAAGAACTCAGGTCGTTGCTGCTGTACATGTGACGTACAACACGCCGTAGTTTTTTTTTAAACAAAAAGTCGGCCTGCGAGATTTCTGTTTGTTTGATATTAGATATGAGTCTGAAATTACGAAATTTTACAATTATCATTAATTACTATTGATATTTTTTCTTATTTACGATGTCGAATTCTACTAATTTTAAGATGAACAGTAGGCCATCAAGCTGTACAGGTAATACCCATGGACTTCTTGTGTATACTGTTTGTGTATAGTGATTAGCGCTTCCCACGGTCTGCACGACCGTCAATGCCTCGGGATGCCACGCATGTAAAACTA